CCGAGCTTTGCAGGCCCTTTGAGGAGAATGGCTCCTGCAAGTATGGTGACAAATGCCAGTTTGCTCATGGAATCCATGAACTGCGCAGCCTGAGCCGCCATCCCAAATACAAAACTGAGCTGTGCCGCACCTTCCACACCATTGGATTCTGTCCATACGGGCCACGCTGCCATTTCATCCACAATGCTGAGGAGCGCCGTGGACCTCCCCAGCAGTGCTCCCCTCTTAACTCTTCCAACAAGATGGAGAGGCCTCGACTGCAGCACAGCTACAGCTTTGCAGGCTTCTCCAACTCAGCTGGGCTGAGAGATAGCCCCACCTCAGTCACCCCCCCACCCATGTTCTTCCCTGATGAGGTCCCTGACTGGCCCAGCAGTAACCCCTTCACCTACTCCAGCCAGGAGCTGGCCAACCTGTTTGGGCCCAGTCTCAGTGCCGGTCCTGTAGGCACAGAGCCCAACACCCCTGCACCTCCCTCTCCAACAAGCACGCCTTACTATTTCAGACCCATGTTGGAGTCCCCTCAGATGTTTGAGTCTCCATCCAGCCCTCCCGACTCTCTGTCAGACCAAGAGGGCTACCAGAGCAGCTCTGGAGGCAGCCTGAGTGGCTCGGAGTCCCCCACGCTGGACACCACCCGCCGCCTTCCCATCTTCAGCCGCCTCTCCATCTCTGATGATTAGACTTCACGCATCCACCAGTGACTTTAAGTTCGATGAAACAAAGAGAACACGGCACTCCCCTCTACCTCTGCCCCTTTCTGAAGCTTCCCTGTCTTCCTGTACACAAGACACCGTGTTTGCTCCTTGTTAGCATTGTGCGGATGTAGTCACTTAAGGGACCTCTCTCAACTCAAATTATCATTTCATCCCTGTTTATCCACAGCAAGTTTTAAAACGCACCCTGCCATGTGTCATAGTGCCAAAAAAGGAGAGGAAATTGAACAATGAAAATCATGAGAACAAGAATTGACTGTTTTGCCAGGTGCCACTTGGTTTTTTTTTTTTTGTTTTGTTTTTTATTTGTTCTTGAATGTGTAGCAGCACAAGTGGCCTTGGAAAGGGGAGTGCATTGCACTAGCCCCCCACCCCCCACCCCATGATGACTATACCACTTCCCCTGAGCTAGCTAGAGGGTGCTCACTAACTTAACTGTAGATCTACCGCAGCCGTTTTTACAGACTGAGTTAAGACAAAAGGAAAAAAAATAAAGACCCTGAAAAGATATGAATAGTTTTTAAAGAGGAAAAAAAGTGCCTGGGGCGGTTTCTGCATGTGTTTAGGGTGAATGGACTACTGTTTGTTTGTTGGTTCTTTCTCATTTGCCCACCTCTCCACCCCCCCCTGTCACGGTTCTTCTCAAGCCCCGTCTTATGTAATTGTGGACTGGGTGAGTCTGCAGGAAGGACTTTGAACTGGAAGTTGGTTAAACCCCTCCCCCCTCCTGAGTTTTTCTCCTCCTGTTGCTGGTCACTGGCTCTCTTTTGGGAAGGAAGTCTTGATATCAAACTGATCATTAAACCTGTAAGACTTTGTCCCACCTCTCAACCCTGCTTTCATCCTCACCGATCCGGGGAATTCCAGCATTCCCATGGTGCAGTTGTACATCCTGCGACTTGACAAGATCAGATCTCCAAGCTATTTTACTTCTCCCCAACTTTAGAACCTGCTCCTATGAGCACTCTGTACTCATTACATCCCTTTTTTGCTTTCTTTATTTGATAATTATTTTTTATTAATGTTATTATTACGGTTATTATTGTTTGAAAAACTTTCCAGACAGAAGGTTTGCTTGTCACTGCTTATTTAACTTATCAGAACATATTTATTGGTGATCATATGCATTTTTTTTGTTAATTTTGTTTTGTATTTATCTGGATAATGAACAATAGAATATATTTTCTTTTATGTTAAATTATGATCTTCCATATTAATCTAAAGATTGTGAAGACGTTTTTGTCAGTTTTCCTTTTTTCACAGTTTAATATATTGTACTTCAATGACTTTTGTTCTGCAACTACACTTTGTCAAAATGAAACTTAATTTAAAGCAAAAAATGCAAAAAAAAGATGTTTTGCGTTTTGATTATTTATTGTCTTTTTTTTTTTTCTTACTCCCACTTATTGGACTGCAATTCCATCTAAACTAGATTTGCTTGTATTCATTCCTGATGTTTTCCCCTTCACATATTACAATAATCTGACCGTAACAGTAGCTAACTGTTATTACATTGATTCAACTCTCGGGTGTTGATATGTCTTCTGTCAGCAGTGTTCTTACACCCAGTCTTTTATAACAAGCAATATCTGTGACCAAATGGGTTGAGGAAAGTTTATTTTGTTTTCTGTTTAATTTGATTGGATGCTTGACGCACTTGCTTGGCCCCTTCTTGACCATTGGAAGTGCCTCATTGAATACATTCCAGGTAGCTACGGCTTCTCTGCCTTTTTATATTTGATAAAGGAGGACAATTAATTTTTTAAAGTCACTTGTTCTGCGTTGCCTTCACGTGTTTGGAAGAGTTGAACCAGATTTTGACACAAAGAAAGTAAAACAGTTGAATGTATTTTTCAGCAATGTTGTTTTCACTACAGTAATTTGAGTTTATGAGAACCTGTTGTGGTTTTTTTTTTCTCCTTTTGTAAGTATTGATTGCAGTTAAGTCAATAAACCCCGTATTTTTTTGAAAAGTTAAACTGTGTAATTGGTTGTGTACAAGGGTTGTTACAGACAATCGGGAAGATTTTAGATGCGCCTACACCTTATGCAGTTCTAGATACGATGCAGGAAGCTACAAAATCTGATCTGAAGATGAATTTTCAAATACCTTCTATACATGGCCTTTTTATCAGGTAGCAGTCGAGGAGACTGGCTATATAACATTTGCATAATACAGCCCTTCAGGGAATTGTTGTGGGAAAAGTATGAAGCACGCCCCATAAATCCACTTAGAAATGACTCATCTATAACTACAGAACTTGCTGCAGAATCATTATGTTTTAAAGTTTTCTTTGGTATCAAAGTAATTCAGGGATAGTTGTCTGGAGATCCATAGGTACATTGCAAATAGGAACTGCTAATGGCTAATTCGGCTTACTTTTAATTATTCCAATTTGCCAAAATGTGAACAAATATAGGTAAAATAAAAATGGTTGTAGCCCACAGATAACTGACTGCATGTCAATGTAATAATTTACTGTCAACTCCTTTTTTATGTAAAAGGACAAACTATGTTAACAAATGTTATAATTAAAGGTAGACTCATACAGAGATGTAATGGAAGAGGCTGTACTTGTGTGCATAATGCAGAACTATAGGGAGTTTCACTGTGGTGGAAGTTGATTGGTGAACTGCACAGAGAGCAGTCAGGGGTATTGACCTGGGGGATGATCAAACCCTGAGCATGTTTGATTACACAAAGACACAGCACTGCTGGTTTTAGCAGAAATATTGATCAGGGGGGGCTGTAACCGTAACATTTCCAAGAATAAAAAAGTGTGACATGCTGAGGTTATCACCTTATCAATGGTCCTGAGGTTACAAGTTAGCTGATCGATAAGTGTGTAAGGATATTCCTGATGAGTATGGGATAAACACTTAAATCAAAGATAGGCTCATAGTACCACATGCGGTCAATGTTATAAACATTTACATAGATAAATAAATGTAGATCATCTATTTCACTATGAATACAAGCAGTGTGGCATTTCAATAACAACACACTGTTGCTTCCCCTTCATATGCTCCACTCAACATCCACACTGCTTCTGCTTTCGCTTGCTGTCTTGACACTTCCGTCTGTTCATGTTTATATTCTCACAGATTGCAAAAATGAGCCAGAACAGGAACTCCCTTCGCCCCATACAATGATGGGCGCTGACCCATCACAGCTGACCCATGGAGGCCCCCTTGTTGCTTTATTCCATATAACCTGTGCCTGGCAGATTCTTGTCTTGTTCCTTTTCTCCCTCCACCCCCCTCCCTCATCTCTGAACAAGCTGCCTGCATGCTGAGCCAGATATTTTTCCTCTCTAGGCACACCAGTAAGTTAAATAGGGTAACAGCCTACCAAATATTGCCTTTTTGATATTCATAGGTGTTTATGGCCAGGGTGTGGTTGAATACTCACTACTTGTTATAGTTTCATTTTGTGTCACACGCTTGAAAGTGAAAATTCCCACAACATGTGGACAGTAAACCAAAATCCCTGTTGCATTTTAAAGCAGTGATCAACAACAAACATGAAAGAAGAAGTCAAAATGCAGACAGCATGTTTTACAAGTGGATTGTAGAAATTTTAATCGAAGGACTTACTCTTAAAAAAATATGAATATAAATGTAACTTGCTATTGAAGTAAAGTAACTGCAAACTCAGGGTGCTACGAAAGCAAGGCCTCATTGAAATGGTTCATGTTTCACCAGAGCAAAGAACAAGGATGGATGTTCTGTTTGGCCCTCTTTAACAGCTCAAAACATACCTAACCTTGCTGTTGTGTACTTTTTTTACTTTTATGAAAATTGCTTATAAACATGACATGTTTATGAAGGCCTCTACATAGAATGACTTCCATTTGAGGTCTCAAAGACCCCAGCTGTGACACATAGTTATAGACAATGGATTTTCATATGCTCTTTATCTGTGGTTGTTGTTGACAGTACTTTTTTATGCAGCACCCAAAATCCTAATTATAAGCCTATTCTAAAGACTGGTATTGGAGCATTTTTAACAGTCTGTTCATAGGAAATGTACAAGCCTAGTTTGTGGCAAAGGAGAGATTATTCATTTCAAAATGTTTCTACATTACTGGTTTTAATAAGGTCAGAAGGAAAGACAAACCTATTTAAAGGAAAGGTTTCTATATCTCAAATTAAACCAGGTGAGTGTGTGCACCTTCCTTTTTTGCTGCACCCTTTCAGAAGGTCTTAAACTGCAGCTTGAGGGACATGAAAGGGCTGTTTCCTGTTTGTGTGGTGTGTGTGTCTATGTGTATATAGAGGCACCTTGAGATGAAGTACTGTACCAGGAAGTGGGTTTCAGCAGCAGGTCTGAGGGTGGCGGAGGGAGGGGGTCTCCTGCTCTTTGATTTGTGAAGAAAAAAGAACAAAACTTCCATTACTTCATCATAGTTTACAGCAGGTTACTTTCCAATATGGAAACAGAACGGTGACACAGATCAAGTTTGCAATTCAGTCATTGCTTCCTACACAACAGGATAAAGCAGGTGTGTAGTTTTACTCTCAGTTCACAATCTTCATTCACCTTTAACCTGCACGGTTGAGCAAGAGAATGTGGCGGCATGTACACTTTGTAATTGTGTTATCAGGGGCAGGTTTACCTCTTTGTTTGAGAAAGAGGTGAGCAAATAGTGCTGGATGTGCTATTTCCCTTATCTGCAATCACAGCTGAGAGCAGGGTAGCTGCAACCCTGCCTGCATGCATGTATACATGTGTGCATGTATCTGTGTCTCTGCACTGTGTGAGGTGATGTTGGAGGGGTAATTAATGACCAGACAAGGGCTGAGGTTGACACTGAGTGAAGAGGTTAGTTTAGGGGCTATTCATAAGCTGCTATGTCTGTAGAAAAAACAGAGAAACGATTAACCTCCTGCAGACACACATACCAAAGCTCACTTTGGAAATATCCACCAATGTAAAAACTGTACCTTTAATGTCAGTGGAGGGATTAGATGTTCCTCTGTGAAGTGAAAATTATTGATCCACGGTGAGAGCATAAGCCTGCTTGTGCATGGTGGTCAAATTTCAAACAACAGTTTGACATTTTGGGAAATGGGCTTACTCATCTTTTTGGCGGGGAATTGAGAAGATTGATACCACTCAGATGTCTTTATGGTACGAAGCTAGAGCAGCTGGCTAGTGTAGCTTAGCACAAAGAAATGTAGACAGTTGAAAACAGCTAGCCTGAATCTGAAAATTCCACCTATCTACTCCACTGAAGCTCACTAATCAACACTTGTTATCTTGTTTGTTTAATCTGTACAAAAACCAAAGCGTAAAAATTATGTTTTACCTGGGTTACATGCCACTTTGGTTTAGGGTTTTCTTAATTACAGCCACATATGATCAATATGCAGTGTGTCTGTCACAGTGATCAAATGTTTGGCCTTGCTGTTACAGGACCGACTTCTAAATCTGCCACTGCTTCTAATGGGCCGATCTTGCATATGTATAGTGAAAGTACACTTACAATCTCTCCACTCCTTTTTAACTCTGCACATGTGGTTAATTTCCTCATGGCTTCACATGGGGGATTGTGGGGAGTTAGAGTCTTGTTTTCCCAAATATTGAAACTTTTCCCTTAATTATGGGGATATGTTTTATAATGTGTTAACAAGGGGCCTTCTCATCCCATCTCTAATCCCTTCCTGTCTATTATCAGCCCGTGTATATTTCATGTTTGGGAAGTTAACCTTCTGAATACAAAACAATACTTTGAGTAACATAGAAAGTGGAATATCCAAATTTACATTTCTGAAAAATTGTAGGGATTTTCATTTGCTTTGTCTTCAAAGCAGAATATAATTAAATATGCATTTTTCTTCACAATTTCCCCTACATACATGTTTCTGGGTAATCACGTTTCATAAAATATCTCATCAGATTATGATGCGGTTGAGCTAACTTCAGGCTTTACAGTTTTAGTAATCACATGCTCTAATCTCAGTGTATGTAACACTTTTTTCTTTTGCCTGCGCCAAATGGCAAGCTTTATCTTTGTGGGTCTATGGCCATATGTGTCACAGTGTGACTGATTGTAGATCAACAAAGACAACAGTCACAACCACTCCCTGATCCTGTGGGTTTAACCCAGGCACTCTGCAGCCCTATTATCTAGGTGACTGAAACTATGACACACACAGCTTACCAAGTAATGACCATTAGCCCAGCCAGGATCCAGTGTCACATGTGCTTTTCTTCCCCTGGACTAAGTGGCAACCCTTGACCTGTAAAAGAAAGGGAGAAAAAACACATATGTGTTGAGCAGAAGAGCAGAGAGGTGAGGAGGCTTCAGAGGAGAGCACTGGTGATGGCTGTCTGACAGGTTGTGGAAACACACCCTTCCACTCCTTAGTGTGACAGAAAAACAAACACAGAGCCACTAAACTCTTGCAGTGCCCCGTGCTAATGGACAAGCGATGACTTTTTCCTAATGAGACGAGCTGGACCACAGAAAGGGAAACGAGGTCTGGCCAATGGGAGAGCCCTTCCCGAACCTGACACTGTTGTGCTTTGGGTTTCTGGTCCACTGGGCCGAGTGAATCACTCCCTCAGCTCTTCTGAGTGCTGAACCACTTAACTCTTCCTGTCTCAGGCCTAGTGGCCTCCATTAAGAGAGCAACATCTGCTAAACAGCATTTCAATAGGAAAAAGGTAAATATTAAAGAAAGAACTAAAAATAAACATTATTTTGTGTAAGTAAAATATGATAATTGAGTTTTTTCTCATTTCCTACCCCAGTAATAACCTCGTAACCCCTTGCTGAGGTCCAGACTCGTAGGTTGGGGATCACTAATCCAATTCACTTTATTTGGAGGTAAAACCAGACCTGAAATGTATAAGTATGGGAGGTTAAAGTTGAATCAAGGAGTTAGTCAGTAAGCCATGATGGATGTTTACATGGATAGTTCGGGAAATAATTTGACCTTTCGTCCTTGTTTTCTCTTCCAGACAAGTTTGGTTAACATGGAGGTAAGTGTAAAACCTGTATGATTGTGTTTGTTGCTCTTCTTTTCATTTTAGCAATGTTGCCATGTTCCCAGATCTCAGCAATTGACTGATGTTGTGTAACTTTCCATTCTGTTTCAAAGCTTTTCACAGACACACCATGGCTGAAGGGTTAGGGTTAGGGTGCATTACAGTTCAAGAAATATAGAGGAGAGACTACACAGCTTGCTTACTTGCCACTTATGTCCTAAGTGTGTGATGCATGATAATGAACACCACTGAACCATACTAAAGCTAAAAACAGCATGTTTCCTCACACATGATTCTCAGTTTTGTTTTGCAGCATCTGTTTCCTCCGGTAGCAGCAGCGCCACCAAACAACCTCTTCCTCACTTCTTCAACAATTTTTAGTTTCTCACCAGTTCGATACTGATTTATATGACCTCACACACACACACCACAGAAATAAACACACTCCTACGCCACCCCTAACCGCCTACAAATGTGCACTGGACCATGATAGAAGCTAGTTGACTAACCAGTTGCCGTGAGTCACTCAGGCCTTTTAAAGGCATAACCAGACAGAAGATGACATCAGTGATAGTTTTACAGGAAGTCCTTGCTCTATCTTGTACAGAGGCCAAGTCTGCGCTATGCACAGATGATCATCTGGTATCTAACACTCAACGCAATCACATGATGTTGATGAAAGAAAAAAAATTACAAAATGGTGAAAACGTGATAAAGTACAAGCTACTTCAAGGCCAGAAACTTTGAAAAATGGGGACTCTGGGTGCTTGAAAGATAAAGAGAGACAAGAGATAGTGAGACAGAGACGATGACTGGACTAAAGTCACCCTCCTGCTAATGTAACTATGGCTGTATCATCTTTTTGTTTGAGTTGTAAACAAGGCTTAGATATCTGGCCTTGGGAGGTTAGGAAATAGTTAAAAGTGAACTCTGTATCTCTGTCTCTCTTTCTGTGTGTGCGTGTTTCTGTGCGTGTGTGTATATTTCACAATGATCCTCTGGCTGAGGCTCAGAGAGACGAAGATAAGAACTGACTGTGAGAAACCGCAGATCTCACACCCACTCACTAAGAAAGAGCACACAGAAACACACAGGCGTACACGAAGAAAGTACACACAGTAACATACACACACATACAAGTCGTGCAAGCTTCTGCTCGTACGACGTCTGAACCATGGCCTAAAAACACAAAGCAGCGTCCGCTGGAAAGGCACATTTAACAGTTGACGCTGGGTTCCCTCAGGGACGTGTGTATGGCTCTGATTGAGGAATTTAGCTGTAAAAACACAACAGAGATTATTTGGAATTGTCTGACTGTTTCACATTTCTCAAGGCGAGTCTTCCATCGTGATAAGGCCCGGCCCGAAACCTGTCCTGCGCTCACCCTCAAGCCTCACCTGCTAACCTGCTGTGACATGCACTCACACAGTTAAGCAGGAAAAAAGAATTAGAGCGTAACTGTACACAAAAGCCTTTAGCAATGCTGGTGTCAGGATATTACTAAACCAACAATCACAAACCCAGTGGGCCCACGGTGTACTGTTTCTATGTGAGACTTTTTGTAAACTTAACCAGGGTGACAGACAGTTGACTCAAATTAAGATTGCACTTTGACTTGGGTCCAGAGATGTTGATTTGTGAGTTAAAACTTAGACGCGAGTCAGACAAAAATGAGGACTTCAGACTTGTCTGGACTTAAAATGAGACTGTGTAACTTTTAAATGACTAACAATCTCCCATTCACAATTTAAAAAGTTGTTTAATTTACACTGGTTTTCTGCTACAGCCTTACTTGGCCTGGTGTTACTTGTATGACTGCTAGATTATGGCATCTTATTTTAGCTGAATAATTGGGTATCTGATGTAAAAGGTGGGATGTGCAATTCTGAAGAAATCCATGACCAAATGCCATGATAAAGAGCAAACAGAAAGAAATGTAAGTAACATTAGCCTGTCGCTACAGTTGCTGCTGTGAAGCTAACATTCAGAGAGGATGAGATGGTTCCAGAAACAGCACGGCAATACTCACAACTCTCAAAATAACGGCATATCTTGGCAAAGTAGAAAGTAAGCTAAATGTCCGTGGGCAAGTAATTTAATGCTATCTCACACACGTATCATGGCTGCAATGGCTGGAGTAGTGTTGTGTGCCAGGGCTGTGTATAAACACCAGATTTGTGTTCAGCGTAAACACAGAACAGACAGCTAGCGGACTGTGAGGAGATTGGCTGAAATTAACAAAAAGACGTGTATTGGATTAGATTTACTTACCCTACCTTCAATTAGTCTTCTTATGCTAGTCTTACATTATAGTATGTTACAGATAAACATTTCAGTTTTGTTTATTACAATAGTAATGCGAGATGAATTGGTTTCGTAAGCAATAAAACACACTATTGCCCAGTTCAATACACTCAGGGGTTTTGCTGCTACAGCCTCCCTTGTACTGGCATGACAGCTAGCTTGTGGTGGCTAATGCTAGCCAATGTTAGCTAACTTTAGATAGATATTCCTGTATAACTGACATTACTGAGTCAGTTTTCTCACTATATAACTCTTATGCCCGTCTTACAATTTTAACATGTTACAGACAAACTTGTCAATTTTTAAAACTGACAGCAAACTCACCCTCACAAGAGACTTGGGGGTTTTTTTTGACTTTGGTCCCATGTCACCTCATGATAATGTCTTTAAATAGAGACTACATAACTTCGTAAGCAATTAAAAAACATAATTGCCCAATTCAATACACTGAGAAGGTTTGCTGACAGCGTCACTATCTGTTATGACAGCTAGTGTTAGCAAACTTTGGATAGATAATGCTGGGTAACTGACACTACTGAGTCAGTTTGCTGACATTATTTTGACCCTTTATTATGACCTCTACCTGTTATACACACACCTCACATATATGTGTATCACAAAAGTAAAACAAGAAGTGCATTGTTCCTCATCAGGAGACAAGTTTGTTGTGGTTGATTCCCATTCGTTTTCATTTTGCCACAGCCTTATTTGTTTTGGTATGACTGGTAGCTTGTGGCAGCTCTAATAGAGCATGTTAGTTAACACCCAGTTACACTTTGAAATAGGTCACATTATGGAAGCTGCCACTTTACTGTGACTCCAAAGCAAGTGGCCACTGTTCAGCTACTGGTAATGTAGTCTTCATTTTCAACAACATAAAATATCAGAACAATTAAAAACAAACAAAACAGCATAAGGCAGGAACGGTGACCTTGAAATTTAATTATTTAAATAAAAATAAAAAAATTAATTATTAGGTCGATGCATCTAAAGGATTTTGTGTTAGCTTCAAACAACTTTGAAAGGAGAATATTCAAATTCTATTAATTTTATCACTCAGCATTTAAACCTGAAAGACTTGCAATTGAATTGTAATTTGATTATGAAGACTCAATTTGAAAGTTTCCTCATGAGGGATGATTTGAGATTTGCTTTCACATGGTTAGAGTCTTTGACTTGCCCCAAAAGACTTAAAACAGCTTTGCTTGGGTCTGCATCTACCCAAGAAAAAACTTAAACCACCTACACAATAGCTCTTTGCGGGGAAACAATAAATTTGTTCTCAGAGGGGAACTCATCTGGGTTTTCCACTCTGCGAATCACGCATCATTGTTACAGGAGACACAGAATAACAGGCGAGAAGGGTTAGAGCAGGCTGGGGCCCGGAGGAAGGCCGCAGCACAATGCGAGGCAAAGGAGATCTCTATAAATCACAGCCCTAACCGATTCCCCACCTGTGTCCGTTCCCAGAAACACAGAGTCACACAAACAGCTGCCCTGCTCTGGAAAACCATCATGACCACGATACTCAGACACAAAGTCACACAATCAAGAGTTTTGGATATCAGACAGCAGCAGTGTGTTGAACAAACTACCCCTTTAAGGCAGAAATTGTAGCTTTGGCATAAGATTTTGGTATGACGTTCCACAGTGGCGCACACACAGCTGCACAGTACAAATTCATGCTTTGCACACACGCGATCAAACAACACGATCAAACAACACAGCCATTAATTTGATTAGAAGGCTCTTAACAATTTCCAGTTTTCGATCTTTAAAGGACATTGTGGTCGCAGCCAAACCAAAAGCCTAAAATAAATTAATGTCATCCATAAACCACCATGATATTAACAGTAACACAGTGCTATCCAGATTTACAGTATTTCCCAGTAATAGGTCGTCAGTGTTTCTGGAGGTGACGCATCAAATGTGTGTGTATGTGTGTATGTACAAGTCTGCCGCATATGTAAACACATCTGAATGTGTATGAGCATGCAAACACATCAATGTGTATGAGTATGTGTGCTAAAGGGGGAAGGTTGTTTACTTGGGCAGCTTCTCAGAGTCTCCTGGCCGGCTACCACTTCCTGCCCCTGTGCCTGGAGCAGCAGCCTGTCTAGTCAGCCACCTCGGGCTGACAGGGAGACCACATGCTAAAAGACTTATTGGCCTACTTTAGAAGACCTATGGGAGAGAAGGGGACTATATGCCTTCTCTGGGTGGGGCTGGAACTGTTTTCAAGGGAGATTGGGGGGTCTAGAGGGTGTCTGATTTTTTTAATAAAGCACTCTACCTCCCTCCCCTCTCTCCCTACTTTTCCTCTGAGTGCTTACAGCTGCAGGGATGGAGAAGGGGGGCATAGCGGAACAGAGCGAACAGGCTCAGCATAGAGAGAGCCCTTCATGAAGTCACATCTGGACCTTTCCCAGAGAACTCAATGGAGCGGAGAGGCTAATGAAAGTCTTAAGTTATGTAATTGAGCTCTTCCATGTGCACCAGACGGTAATGTTGGCCTGATCCGCAGCACAGGATGTTAGCAAAATCCTATGGACATTTATGTCCCTCACAAAAGGCCTGAAGAACACAGCCGTGCTCATGCTGCTACTGTCATGCCTGTAGCAGCTTGCTAAACCAGAATCTGAATATAGTAGAGCTCCAGCCCCATACATGGAGTCACTGCAGAGAGAGACTTGGCCTGTGAGGCATAACAAACAGGGTTTGGCATTTACTGCTACTAACAGGGCTACTTATGTTGATTGGCCCATGTTGTTTTGCTGTAGTTAGGCTTCCACTGTCCGGCAGCAGTGGAAAATCACGAGAGAATTATGAACATTAAGTACAGCGCATGATTAAATGTGGTGTACGATGATTCTTTTTGAACCTTGTTCAAAGTGTAAACAATTGTAATGTAATTTTGAGCCTTGCAGTTTATGACAAACATATGTCTGCTTATGTATTGTTATGCTTAGCAGTGACTTGTGCAGAGAGGCTGTAAAATAAGCTGCCTGGCTGGTTATGGGTGGGAGGGGGAAAGAAAAACCTGCACTGGCGGATAACATGGTGAGAGCTGAAGTGATGAATGCTAGGGAACACACGTATATACAGTATGTGTGTAAATGCAAACAAGCCTGAAGTCATGTGCATGCGTGTGTGTGTGTGTGTCCATATGTATGTTACAAATGTGGGATGGGTGTATGTTGTAACCACAATCAGATTGAATAAGGTGTCCAGTGTCAGCTCTAGCTTTGATTTACTTTCCACGGCCAGGGGGAGAAGAAAGAGAAGAAGCAGAAGCAGAGGAGATGCTCTTGAAATGAACACCTTGGTAAAACCTGCCGCTGTATAAAGTGTCAGTGTTGGGCCTCTCCATGGCGTGGTGCCAAGCCCAGAGCCACTATCACCTCCACCACCACACCACTGTGCCTTCCATTAATAAAAGAGAAGAATAACAGTGACGGAGGGGAAGATAGGCCAGAGCAACGATACATTACCTGCCAATTAGACGAAGGGCGGAGGCAATGAGGGGAAATGCAGACCATATGGGAGGCTATGTGAGGGGCCACCTGACCCAAGGGGCCCACAACTTTCACGTCAACACTCCTCGCCAAACTGAACCTGTTTGAAGTCTTACATAATGCTCTGAATACCACCCTCTTCTCGTTCTCTCTCCCCAGTCTTTCCAACCTCCTCCTCCCCTCTTGCCCTCTGCTTTCCACTTTGAGACCACAACCACAAAGACTGGCCCCAGCCAAGACAAACACAGCCCAGAATCAAATCAATTTTGAGAAGTTATGGTGCGACTATTATAGCTTAACACGCCTCTGACAAGCCGCATGAGATGGTACCCTCATGAGTGTGTGAAGAATGAAGGCCGTTACATTTGTAACGTGAGCGATCCGACACACAAGAGACATAACAGCAGTTGCCACTGGCAATTTCCTTCTTTGTGCATCCTTTATATAACATGCATTAGTAATTCTGATGATTATTCCTTGAAAGTTGCTCAGTGGAATAAAGCATACCTTGGCACAAATTTCTTATACCAAATCATTACAGAACCTTTCCTTGTGTTTTCCAACGCTTAAAAAGAGAATTTTCCAAACACTTCCTTTTGATGAAGGAGCTAGAGTTTAGCATTATTTTAACAAGCATGCAATAAAAAGCTTTAAGAAACAGTTTGATATTTTGAGAAACTTGCTTTCTTGTTAAGAGTTAGATGAGATTGATATCCCTTTCATGTCTGTCTGTTAAATGTAGAGACATACAGCCAGCATCCGGTTAGCTTTGCTTAGCATAAAGACTAGAAACAGGGAAATAGCAACCCTGGCTCTGTTCAAAGGTAACAAAATCTGCCTACTAGCACCTCTCAAGCTCATTGATTAACCCATTATATCTTGTTTCTTTAATTTGTTGTGCAAAAACAACAAGTCATGGTTTTTGGGGGGTTTATGTACCAGACTATTTTTTGCTTTGGTGCAGCAACATCCTGGAGTCCTAGCAACCTCAGGTGATGACAAGGCTCCCAGCTATGAAATTATCTGGGACATAACCCTCCCGTTTTTACACTTTGGTTTCTGTAAGGATTAATCAAACATGACATCATATGTTTATGAGCTTTAGAGGTGCTTGTAGGCAGAATTTTGACTTTGGACAGCGCCGGGCAGGCTGTAGCTTCATATAATGTCTACAGATATGTCTCAGCAAAAAAGCGAATGAGCAAACTTCCCAAAATGTCAAACTATTTCTTATTAAACACACAGTGTGCAATGGCTGTTCTGCTGCCTCAGTCTGGCTAGTGCAAGAGAGGCTCGTGGCCAGGTCTAGTCAGAACCAGAAGGGCCGGCAGCAGCTCTGTGGAAACACTGACTCACCAGCCAGGGGCCTTAACTCAACTCTACCTCCTCACAGCTGGCTGACGGGAAAAAATAATTTTATTTCTAAAACACCTTTATTGTTACAACACAAAACTTGCATGAAAACCATACCACAGTCCAGAAGAATAAATCTAACACCTTGCACAAACTGCCCCAGAATCTAATTCACATTAAAAACCAAGCAGCGCTGCACCACGACTCCTAATCCACTATTAAAGAGAAAAGGGGAGAGAGAGGGAAAGAGACAGAAAGCTGTATCATTAATGTGGTTGGACCCCTGGGAGACTGTTGGGTAATCATAAGCCTCTTATTAGACGACTCTCCTCAGAGAACTTGTGGTTTAATCTTATAAAACTTTGAACACCCACTCCCTGCATGCTCTACCACTGGCTTATTAGTAACCGTTCTGTTTTTGGTGCTCCACTGTGGTAAATGGACTTGTTATACTTAAGGCTTACTTAAAAAATGCCACTTTGACGGAGCCCCATCTGAATTATGGTAGAAAAGCACAGGGCAAAAGGCTGTTGAGGTGTCGTTAGACTGACAGGTTTGTTTTTCACACTGTTTTGTACTGTTGCTGAAAGCTGAATCTTTCATCAGCCCATCCTGCTCAAACCTTGTACTAAGTCATATGCACAGGGCCGTATATGCCACAGCACTTAAAGTAAAGTTATATTTACACAACATAGAGAAACTCTTTAACACATCGTAGTTTAAAAATGTGTGTGTAAATTCTGTGGTTTCACATTATTTGTGTATTTATGTTTCAGATAAGAGGTCTCCTTCTGAGTGCCGTGGTGGGCCAAAAGTCAGGTTTTCTTATTT